CCACTCAACGATTGACAAATGCCTCGCAGATACTAAGGAAGAACACTCCTATCCACCGATTTTTGAATAAATTTTATGTTTCAAAAACATTTTAAAAAAGGGATCTTTCTCCATGACTCGCAAATTTTTTTCTGGAGTGAGCGAAGGATAACACTGGCGCTTCTGGTTTTATCGGCTGATAAAAGCTTTTAGAGACGGAATCGCTAGTCACTTTACTCTTCCCCTTTATAGCCCCTCGACAAAGTGAAACAGCTCTGCGAGAGAGTTGTTTTCTGTTTCAAGTAGCTAACGGCTTTTTACTTTAGTGCATTTCACCCTAGAACGAAACAACAAATAACGGATTTTTGTTCCAATACAAATTGATAGAGAAATGGGGTAAGGAATCAATTGTATTATTGACGATTTCGCATATTAAATTACATTCTACACACTGAAAAAATTTATAATGAAAATTATCCCATAGTCGGATGTATAGCCGACTGGGAGGAAATCAATTATTTTTTCTATGATCAATATTTAATGAATAAAAAAATATGGCCCCGTCGTCCACAAATTAGGAGTGTCGGCTGCATTCAACTATTTCTTAATGGAATTATTCTTCGCTTTGTCATTTTGACTTCAAATAATTTTTTTCTGCTAATTAAAATATTCTTGAATGTATGGACCCATAATTTTGCCATTTAGGTGATTCTTTTATTATAGATCCTACCACGAAACTCGAATTTCCATCAACCGTCCAGCAATTGGCCTGTCATCAGTTTGAACATTTCGTTTGAAAAATTCTTCCCGAGCAATTTTCAGTATTCACAGGACTATTGATGGAATTGCTAAGGTAGCGGTAAATCATTGTATCGATTTTCCGGTTATTTTTTCCTTAGTTTTTTCTGTTACATGTTGTTTCCTCAAAACATGAAAAGTTATAACTTTCAAAATTTTTTTATGATAATTTGTTTATTATCATAATTCATTCAATTTACCATCAAAATAATATCCAGATGTCAAATTTTATCTTCTCGTTTGAATTTTCAGACTGAATAATATTGACCTGACTATTATTATGTAATGGTGTTTTCGCCAATTATTGGTATGGATTTGTATCTTCAAAAGTTCAATGTTATTGAGGCTTTCTTATTATTCAAAAGGCCTGAAGATTAAAAAAAAAAAATTTTTCATGTTTTATTATGCCCACAATGTTAATTTTTTAGTTTTGTGAATTTTTGCCAAAATTCTGCGTTCTAGCACAGGTCGATTGTTTTTCGGGATTTCAGTAAGTATTTCCGACGGGAATTTTCCGTTCTTTCGATTGAGCATGGTGCCCATTAGCTCACATAATCGAAAATGCTTTAAAATCGGCAAAAAAGTAGGAGATTGTGCTCTCCCCACCTCAATTGGAAATTTGTTTATTACTTTATCCAAAATGACTATTTTTACAAAACATATTACAAAATTAGGCTAGGACTCAGATTCGTTGTATCCAATTTTTTTCCAATTTCGTTTTCAAACATTTTTCCAATTGTTCACTTTTTAATTTGTTCATTTCGAAATTCATTATTTATTCACCATTTATGAACCATAAATAATAAATTTTGGAATGAAAAAATTGAACAAATGAGAAATTGGGAAACATTTTTTAAAACGAAATTTGACAAAAATTATTTTTGGATAGAACGGATCCGAGTCTCAGTCGAGTTTTTCAACCTTAGTCTGGTCACCAAATACGACCCTGCGACTTTGGTTACCTCCGGAGGGTTTCCCCGCCGTGTTATTTAGGCTCTAGCATTGCTGAATTCACTCTTCACTACCTAAGCGCGATTAGCGAGTTACCGGCAACGTCGCGTGATGAGCAATTTCATTTAATATGGGAAAAAATAATTCGTCTGTTCGAAATAATTTGTTTTCTTTAAGAATTTTGGGAAATATGCTGTTCTAAAAACTACTATAATTTTTTAGACACTTCAATTGACAAAGTCAAATTTTTTTTTCGAATTTTTCCAATTAGCCAGTGAATTGTAATTAAAGAAAAACGATGCGTGGCGGGGTTTCCCTCAGAGTGTGACCAATCTAGGGTTAACATATTTCGTAAAAATTGTTACTTTGGGTAAGGAAAGAAAAAATTCTTCAATCGAAGTGAGGGAAGGAAGTATTACGCACAATTTTCTAGTTTTTTGGCGATCTTAAACCCTTTCCGTCGATGTGAGCTAATTGTCACCATCTTCAATCAAAAGAACCGAAAATTAATGTCGGAAATATATATTGAAAACTCAAAAAAAATTGACGTCTACTGAGACAAAAAGTTTAGTCAAAAACTCATGAAATTCAAAAATTCACGTTATGGGCGTAATAAAATTTTTAAACAAGCAGGGGTTGAAGTCTATCCAACAAAAGCCATTCAATTGTTACTTTGTGGTATCACTTTTTTTCTTTTTTTAGTTTCTATCAATTTCATTGTTAGTATGCTTCCGAATGTATCCGTAGCAATTGCATTCGAAAAATATGAAGTTTGGCGACCATATCTGTATGTAAACATGTCCAGCGCCATCTTTCGGATCGTTAATTTTTAGAAAATGCAGTAATCGAGTGGTTAAAATATTTTTTTTTTAAATTTAATTTTTGTCAGATTAGAGGTCTCAATGAGGACCCCAACCCAAATTTTTCTTGCAACCATTTCTTTTTTTTAACTCTGTGCAAAATTAAAGCCCGACCATTTTCCCAAAAAGTTCCCTCTCACGAACTATGGAACAAATTAATCTCAAATTCTTTCGAGTTATGTAGCTGAATAGTAGCGATCAATACTCAAAATTTGAGATCGTTAAATAAAGTTCTAACCGCATTATAGCCACACGAGTAAACTGATCACCTAAAAATAGAAAATAGCAATATCTCGAAAACTTTCAATGCAACGGTACTCATATTTTAATTTCGTCAGAAAGACACCATTATAACAAATATTTTGTAAAAAAAATGGAATTCGGCGGAGGGGTTTTTGAGATATTAAAGAAAAAAGTTTCACATACAAAGTTGAATATCTCCGTAACTACTTGTTCGATTTCGCTCATTCAAAATACCAAACTTTGTTACCATGAGACCTACAATCTTACCAAGTTTGAAGTTTCTATCTCAATTATTTTTCATGTTATCGTGGTAACAAGCGATTTCGTTAAAAAAATGAAAAAATGAAAATAAAACTCAATTCTCCGTAGCGGGGTCATTGAACTTCTATACAGTAAGATAGGTCTCATCTTGACAAATATCTTGAAAAAAAAAATGAAATTGGTCAAGCCGTTCCTGAGATATTTGCGAAAAACCATTTTTGAGAAATCTCTATATCTCAGGAACTACTTAACCGATCAGGCTGAGGTTTAGCACAGATTTGTATCTCATTGGTACCAACTATGAGCCAAAATTTCAAGTTTTTTGTAATTACGATTTTGGAGTTATTGACACATTTCTGGACAAACGCATACCATACATACATACGCACACACATACATACAGACATCGTCTAAAAACATCATATCTTGACGTTTCAGACCACTTTGAGTCATATCCAAGTAAAATTAGAGATTCGAAAAAAAAATGCATTTTCAAAGCTTCCATTCAAAAGGAAAACATGAGAAAAAAAAATTGAGGCCTTTTGAATGATAAGAAAGCCATATAAGAAGCCTCAACAAAATTAAAATTTTGAAGGTGCAAAAACGAATAATCTTGCTGGGATAAGAACTCTGAAAAGATTGATAAAATTTGTCAATTGACAATATCCTACAGTTTAAACTCTTCAAAATAGATTCTCTTACTTCCCATTTAAAATTCATTTTGCTATACAGTTTTTCAATTCGTTAAAGAGAAAAATATTGACACGATTCAGATACAAATTACAACAATACCGGTATCCATACCATAGTCCAAGAAGCATCACAACTGCTCGCCAGTGTTCTACGACTTCAGTACAACTACCCTCCATGTAAGCCACCTTTGTCCATCCCTGTCCTTATTTTTTATCACTGCACCCCACGAATAGCTCCCTCCTCCCTTTCACCTTCCCTTTCCATCCGGCGAGCGTTGCTGACATAAGAATCAAACATTAATATCATTCTTACCCCTTTCAAAACAAACGTTCCTGAAAGTTCAATGGGGAAATGATAAAACGGTTTCGAGTCTCTATAAGTTCCGTTTTTAAACTGTCTATCATTTCTATACTGAGTTATAAGTATTACCTAGAAAATTGTCGAAAACATTTGCTAGCGACAATTTTTCCATCTATAAAAAAGTTATTTATATATTTTCTCATCAAATTGTCTCGTTTCGAGATAACCAAGTGGACTAATTAAAAATCAATATAAATTATCAGAATGCGTTAATTATATCAGTAATGAGCAGTGATAAGAACTTATCGAGAAACTTTTCTTGTAGAAAAGTCAATTTCCTTCTTATATTGCTTCTTGAATCGCTTCCTCCTCTCTCACCCTAGTAGTCTACCACTTATCAAAAACTTGAAATTCAACTTATTTGTGATTCCTCAATAAAATTAATCATCGGGATTCGATCATTCATACCCATGGCTAATAAAGTAATGGAGATATATACCAAAGTTTCACACACAAATCGATCAAATCGACAGTTACAATAAACATCGCCGAATAATCATCGAATTGGAATTAATACATTCACCCGGTAAATTCAATTCTCGAATCCAAATTTCATTACATTTCCGTCATTTCAGTACCGGCATAATTGTATTAGAAGTGCAACTCCATATTCCATTCCTAGAGCTAGCATTACATAATCGTGTAACTATAGCTCAATTGTTTTTCTCATTTTCCTCAAATTCTCGAACAAATAGTGGTATTGGAAAAATACTCAAGAGGCCTTGTTATAGAGGCTTGTCTCCTCCATAAGAACATTTCCTCGAAATTTTTTCTTGCAACCATTTCTTTTTTATTAATTCGAAATTTTCAAAAATTATTACAAACATAAAATAGAAAAATAGTTAAAAGACTTACCACAAGAAATGCAGAAGGTGAACCCTAGCGTAAGTGTAAAAATTGATGCAATTTGACTAGTGAAAATCATCGTATCGTTGAGTTGGTGGAAAAATAAATTAGAAATGAGCAAATAAAAAATTCACATTAAAAAATGTGGGAATTCCACAGAAAAAGAATAAATATATTTTTCTCATTCACTTGCACCGTTCAATTGAATTCACCTTAATGTTCTATATTTCTTTTTATCAATTTTCGATGATTTCTTTAATTTAATTTAATTCTTCTGAGTTGTTGGTTAATTGGTGTTTTTGTATCACTTTTTCACGATTCCCAATGGCTCACTGGTTAAAGTAGAGTTTATGTGTCAGAAGTAATAAAAAATTAACGGAAAGAAGAAGAGTAGCGTTTTATTGATGATGCAAGCCATACGAGGGTCAGGGTATGGGTTCCTCACAGGGCTCCGCGTGTGCACTACACCTCGAGAATTCGCGGGAGCTTCTGCCAGATCGGGTTGATACCGGGAGGACTGTTTCAGCTACCACGCGCTCTATGCGGCTGCACAGGCGCACTTAAATGACACTTTTTCCATGCGCCAAATTGGAGTTGACCCTTTTTTTTCATCAGAATTACGATGTAAGTCATTTTTCTTGTGATCAATATCATCTTTTTTTTGTAAGAATCAAGTAGATTATTTTTTTGTGATGAGGATTGTCGAATAGTCGATAGTTTCATGCTAGTTGTGCTATTGAAATAATAAAATTGTTCTGATGATCTCATATAGATTTCATTTATATGCATATCGCCGAAATAAATATAAAAACAGATTGATTTCTGTACATTCTCAACTGGACTTGAAAGTAATATCTGCACCCAGAAAAATGATTTATTTGAATCGAATCAAAATCTTTATTTAAAAAAGAATTCAATTATATCAACTAAATAATTTATTTGTTTCAAATGAAGAGGTGTCTGATTTTAAGAAAATCACATCTTCATGTATTTTGTGAAAGAAATCCAAAATTGTGTGACAATAACATTTGCGTGTCAAGTACCAAATGTCCGTATTGATAATTTTGCAAGATTTAGACCCTTCAATTGGAAAAAAGTTGTGGGAACCTAATTCAGGAACCGTAAAATCTGGACTACTTGGGAAAAGGGAATGGAAACAAAAAAGCATCTACGATTTCGTCGATTAGAAGTGAAACAAAAATATGGTGACTTCACAACCAAAGCAAGTCTGTTCCCCCTTTCGTCGCAAAGCCTTATAAATTACAAACTCTCCTCCCCACCCTAATCCTGTGATGTAACATTCGGATGCTCCCAATTCGACCTTTTGTGCAGAACGTATGGAGCATGTGCAAGTGAAATCCGAAATTTAAAACATTTCATGTTTCCGATTGTCTTTACGATTTTTTTTCTGAGAAGGAGGATATGAGACCAAGCTGTCATAAAATTTTCAGAACGATTCGAGTATTTTTTAACGAATTATGATTTTTCAAAAAATTTCACTTTTTCCATTTGAATTTGGATTGTTTGAAAAAAAAAGGTGAAATAATTCAATTTAATTATTAGGAATCGAATTTTCGTTTTTACACATTTGAAGATAATTTAAAAATTTTCAAAATGAACGCAATTGAACTCAATTTGCTTTGCTTTTGAAGCCGTTATCGCAAAATCAATTTTTTTCTTCAATCTACAATCACTCGAAAACTTTGTTTTTAATCTGAAATTTGAGGAGTAATTTGGTGATATAATTACAAAAATTTTCACCAAAGGACATACATGTTTTTGCATTTGTTCCCTGATAAATTCATGATTTTTTTTCTTCGAAAAATTTAGATCGAAATGAGACTCGGAGTCATCACGAGAGGAGTCGATACTGCGTATTTCGAGACTGAAACGAGACTAAAGATTTCCATGTTCATTGAGACAGAGACCATCTCTCCAAAGTATTGTCTCGTAAAGTCTCTCGCGGCATCACTATTTGTAACTGAAGACGAAATTATCGAAACCAAAAAACAATCACTTTGTCGACTCCCGTCCAGCCTTTACCATCAGGAACGTGTAGCTATCTTTTTTTCGTACCGAACTCCACTAGAACCATTATAGTTAGGCGTTTTTCTACCTTACTTGAGTATGAAACAATCAAACTAACAGAAGATGTATTATCATTGGAATCGATCGAATCCGAAGTGATTATTGCGTGGGAAAATAAATGGTGTGTGGAAATGATCGTCGGTAGAGACTTGAGGTCCAATTCATTCGTAGCCACTTGCGATGTAGCCATGTGGATTACGTCTTTATATGAATTCCCTGTTGAGGAAAAATTGTCTTCACAAGTTGTTTCAACATTTTATGTGAGGCGACATTGAAAAAGTCAAAAACCAATACTTTCACAATTCCAAAACAATCGGAAAATATAATCCGTCGTAAATTCATTGATTATCAAATAAGTCAAGATTCTTAAGTTTCCCCTCCCTCAATGTAACGGTCAAGTCGATATTTATATGTTCCGAAGTGGAATATAGCTTGCAATAAATCACTTTTTCAACTATTACTAGTCTTGAGTTTTTTTCCTTTGTCATGTACGCGTTGCTCTCGCAAACGAATTTTACGCAAAAAATCACTCGTTTAACAAAGGACGACTGCAAAAAAATTATTATCCTTCGGTGAAAATATCGGTAATTATTTCCCCAAGTTACGCTTAAAATTTCAGATAAAAAAAAAGTTTTCAAGTAATTGCAGGTTGGAAAGAAAATTTAATTTTGCCATAAAGGCTCCAAAAATTAAATAAATTTAGCTCAGTTGCACTCATTTTAAAAGTTCTTCACTTCCTTTCCAATGTATGAAAACGAAAATTCGATTCCTAATGATTAAATTCAATTATTTCACCTTTTCTCAAACAATCAAAATTCAAGCGGAAAAAGTAGAAATTTTTGAAAAATCGTAACACGCAGAAAAGAAATCGAATCGCTCTAAAAAATTTATGCGAGCTTGGTTTCATGTACTCCTTGAAAAAATCGGCTAAATAATCAAATTTGAGTTTTGGATTTTTCGTGTTGTATCAACTCATTATGATCAAAAAGTCCGAAAACGCAATTTTTAGACCGCGGGTTCCCGATGCCTCTCGTATATTAAGAAAATTACTGAATAGACAGAGCGAGATACGTTTGTCGCAGCTTTCTTTCTCTGCCGAACGCATAGATTTTATCTAGTATACCCTCACTCCGTAACCGTACTTACTCCACTCTATAAAGCACTCCAAGAAGAATTAGTCCACAGTCTAAATATTATATGCCTATGAGGATTCCGCATCTCTGCTCCCCGTTCTCCCACACTCTGCAATTGCTTTGTCATAAAAAAAATATTGTACCATCTACGTCACTTCCGTTTTCAGCAAAATTCAAATTTTCGCGCCTTTTTGGGACGTCACATCCTTGTTGATGACATGACCTCTCCCCCCCTTCCTGGCCCTTAGTGTCAGAATTTCAAATTTCGCGCCATCACCTGACTTCCGGTTTAGCAAAATTAAAAATTGACGCCCTTTCTATGACATCACTTCTAGTGTTGTGGTCCAGAATCCCCACTGATTTCTGATGACTTCTGGAAATCACCGATAATCAGTAGAAATCATAAAGAAATCAGGTGATTTCAGGAATAATTAGTAATCATCGATGAGTATGAAACCAAAATCTTTTATTCGAACTCACACTATCTCGTCTGACCCTCATGACCTTATACGGTGTCCCGCAACCGACCTTTTTCTTTGAAGGGTGTTAGAGAGGGTGCTTTTTTAAGTGGAAAGTTCCTCTTCCATTTTTGGATCCTAGCATTTTTTTTGGTCTGACTTTTTTTTGGGGGGGATTGAACTACTAATTTCAGGGGTGAATTTTTTTATGAATTGTTGAATTTTTTTTTTTTCTGTGACATGAGCTTGCAACTAATTGACCAGAGAGAACGGAATTTACTCGCGAAATGAATCAGTATGATCCACAATTACTTCTGATTGTTCTTAATTTTTACAATTATGTTAATAATTGATGAGTCATTAATTATTTGGGGCTAAATTTATNGAACGAAAAAGGGGAGAGGGTTGCGGAACGAGTCGGAGCCCACATCACACCTCCAAAGGGGGGTGAAGATTTTTTTTTCAATTTTTTGTTCTCACTCCGCACGGATTGAGGTAAATGAAACATTTGTGACGGTGTGGAAGCCACCCCCGCCTCTATCGGGGAGGTTAAAAACTGCACGCAGTGAGGGGAGGGGGTTGAGAAATGAGTCTATGCTCAAAGCAAAAGGGGGTGAGAATTTTGTCTTCTCAATCATGTGTCCAAAAGAGGGGTGAGTATTTTTTGTTCGCTTTTTGCTTTCAGTTTGTAGGGATTCGGAGAAATTGGACATTTCAAGGGGGTGAAAGCCACCCCCTCGGCCGCACTTATCGGGGAGGTCAAAATTCCCATACAGTGAGGGGTGGAGGAACACAAAATACTCACCCCATTTTGGACACAAAACATGTGTCCAAAATGGGGTGAGTATTTTTTTTTTTAATTTTTGTTCTCACTCCGCACGTATTGAGGTAAATGAAACATTTGCAAGGGGGTGAAGTCCCCCCCCCCACGTATCGGGGAGATTGAAATTTTCACGAAGTGAGGGGAGGGGGTTGAGAAATAAGTCCGAGCCCAAATCATGTGTCCAAAAGGGGGGAGAGTATTTTATTCTTTTTGCTCGGTTCGCACGTTTTGAGGTGAATCTAACATTTGTAAGTGGGTAGATGCCACCCCTAGACCTATCGGGGAGGTTAAGATTGTCACACAATGAGGGGAGGGGGTTAAGAAATGAGTCCGAGCTCAAATCATGGGTGCAAAAGGGGGGGTGAGTATTTTTTCTTCGCTTTTTGCTCTCAGTTCGCATGGATTAGGGAAAATTGGAGATTTCGAGGGGGTGGAAGCCGTCCCCGCACTTATTGAGGAGATCAAAATTCCCATACAGTGAGGGAGGGAGTTGAGGGACGATTGTGGGTTCAAAACATGTGTCCAAAAAGGGGGTGAGTATATTTTTACAATTTTTTATTCTCACTCCACACGTATTGAGGTGAATGAAACATTTCGAGAGGGTGAAAGTCACCTCCGCACTTATCGGGGATGTCAAAATTCACATACAGTGAGGGGAGAGGGTTAAGAAATGAGTCCGAGCCCAAATCATGAGTCCAAAAAGAAGGTGAGTATTTTTTTTATCAATTTTTTGTGCTCACTCCGCACGGATTGAGGTAAAGGAAACATTTGTGAGGGGGTGAAAGCCACCCCACACTTATCGGGGAGGAGGACATTTGTACACAGTGAGGGGAGAGGGTTGAGAAATGAGTCCGAGCCCAAATCAAGTATCCAAAAGGAGAGTGAGTATTTTTTTTCGCTTTTTACTCTCAGTTCGCACGTTTTGAGGTAAATGTAAAATTTTTGAGGGGGTAGAAGCCACCCTTACAAATTG